CAACAGGTTCTGAATCCATCGCGATGTCGTCGTCGAGAGAAAAACTGTACAAGAATGGAAGGCTGAGCTAAGTTGAACTAGCCGAGCTGCAAGTACATCAAAATGCATCAAAGTGGAGACATAAAAGCGGTCAAAAACACCCAAAAGAAAAACAAGGAAACGAAAAAATCATCCTGTTCAACAATAGGGAGACCATTCAATAGTGATTCGCATGGATGCAATGAAACGATGAATTAGACGGAATAAACTGGTCTGTACACAGTATTGGCGATGCTTCAGTGGTCGAGAGTTTGTCGTGTGTGGCAAGTGTTCAAGCAAAAAGTGCACTGCTGGCGACCAATCTTGTTTTTGCTGCGCGTGTGGAAGAAAGCTGTAATGGTGTGTTGTGGGTTGGAGTCTATTGCTCGCAACTGCTGGAACGACAAAAAGCAATAAGCCAATATGTAAATATGTACGAATTGACAATAAAATACCGTACAAAGGCATCAATAGTTCGGGATGTTCTTCAGCACCAAGAAGTCGTGGAAAGCACTGTCTGGACGATCATAGACTGCTGTTGTGTATTCTATGTCTCTTTGTCGGTCAGATCCGGAGGTTCTGTAGTCATCGTACTGGCATCTTTTGTGGCTGGAGGAGTTGCCTCTGCTTGTTGAGATGCCTTGTGTGGTGATGGTGCTTGTGCTTCTGGACTGTCTGGCGGTTGAGGTGTGTAAAGAATTCGCAAGACTTGCCATCGACCTTTGCAGTCAAAAGGTGTTTTGTTGAGTGCTTTTGCTATGTATTTCCAACTGGGGCGAGATTTTTTGTTGAGTTTGAAGGCCGCAAGTTTCTCATCTTCACTGGGTTCCCATCCTCCATTGTCAGGATAGTGTGGTGAATCCGTGAGGAGGTGCGCTAGCTTGGATGGTGGTGCTGGTGATGCAGGTGGCAAAGGTGGCGGATTCGGTGGAAATGGTGATGTTTGTGGAGGTGTATTGGGCGAACTGGTGAGAGAAATCGTTGTGATTGGTGGTGTACGCTGTTTCGGGAGGTCTGTATTGTCCTTGTGTTGGTGAGTCGCTTTGGACTTGTGGCGGTGTGGTGAAAACTGATGTGGTGAAGTGGGCGTATGTGAAGGAGAAGGTTCTGGTTTGCACTCCATGTATGGTTTGCCTTTGGCAGGAGGCGGACTGCGGCTGCGTGAGAAAGACGGCTGTGGTTGCAGTGGAGGAGGAGTGTGCCTGGCTGGTCTTGGGGGGGGAAGGTGGAGTGGTAGTGAGTGGGTGATGTGCTTGTTGTGGTAGTTGCGGTGTAAATGGTGGAAGGTTTTGAAAAGTAGTAGCAATGGAGGTGGCTGCTTGAAGGTGTGCTAAGAGAAGCCGATGGGCAAATGCCGTGTCCAAAGGGGAAGTCATCGTCGTGGTAGTCGTCGGGAGGCAAATATAGCTCGGCTGGTCGTCAGGGATCGAGCTCAATATTCAAGATAATACAAAATGGCTGCGGGGCAGGTTGCAAATCACAGGAAATCTTGCGACTCTCTTCGAAATGCTTGTGACTCTCTTCAAAAAGGTTGATAACTACCAGGAAAGTTGACATGCTGCAAGTCTGAAAAATTGGAAAAGTCACTGTAAAAATCATGTTGTCGGCATCAATCTGTACAAGAATGATATATCGGAAGAAAAGGAAGTTGACAACAATGTGTGAGAAAATCGGAGTCAATATCAACATCAAGCGGGCTGGCTGAGATTGTTTGAGGCTAGGTCGTCATCCAAGATACAGGGTGAAAAATAAACCTCGTGAGCTGGATTGATTGAATTAAATGAAACTGAGCGGTGGCTTTGCATCGCTTTTCCAAGCTATCCCTTCGATTCTGGAATGTTTGGGATGGGCCACCCAGCATTTTCCTGGAGTGTATTTTACAATCCCCTCTCCTCTGAGCAGCAAGTCATTCGCTGCGGATTCGCCTCCATGAGTGACTTTCTGGCCGTGTCCATAGGCTTTGATCGTCAGAATGAGACCGCTGCGGTTCTTGGCCATGTTGGAAGCATTGAAGAGAACGCGTGCAGCTTCAGCAGCATCATGGGGCTCGTAGTTCGACAATTCGAACGCCTGACAAAAATATCCCACATTGTGAGCATCATGCAGAATAGATCGCACAATTTCTCCTGCTTCAAGTATTGAAATGATGTTGCCCTCCTCGCTCACGTGTGCCGCAAAAATGTGTTTGATAGGTGGTATGTTCAGCGCCTCTCTCCGTGTAGGAGGAAGAATCGGGGCGTCGCCCCTGCTCGCTAATGTGGGGATTGTGAGTAGTAGGAAGGAAAAATGTTCTTCTTTGTTGGTGTCCTCGCACCATTTTTTGTGGGTGAGAAGTTGTAAGTCGGTAAAGTGGGTGCTGTTGAGATGAGCTGCACTGAGCACTTTGGCTACGTAGGAAAGCATGGGTTCATTGTTGACATCAAGTGCTTGTGCGTAGCGGTTGAGCCATTGGAAGACCTCCAACTGTGCTGGATCTGTAGGTGGTTGGAATGTTGGAGGAGGTAAGTTGTGTGGTCGACGTTGGACTGGAATTGCAGGTATTGGTGCTGGTGGTGGTGGTGGAGGTGTCTGTTGTGTGGAGTGTTTGGGAGTGAAATGTGGGTTGGGCTTGAGTGTAATGCTGGAAGCACGGCGAGGTGGCTCTGGAGTGTGTTTTGCAGTAGCAGCTGGAGTGATGTTTTGGATGGAAGTGTGAGCTTTGTCTTGGGTGATTGCTGGTGATCGTGATGTTGGTCTGTCTGCAGGTTTGGATTGAGCTTGAGAACTAGCCACGGATTGTGTGGCGGAGCTTCGACGTCTTGGTAGTGGAGAGCGTGTGGTACGTAGTGATCGAGTGCGGCTCCTGGATCTGGATGTAGCTTGTGATGGTGCAATGGAAGGTACGGCTGGAAAGGCTGAATAGCGGTGGTGTTCAGGTGTGCGTGGTGGTGAGCGATCTGGGTCGCGCCAAATGCCTCTGGTAGTGCTGAGTGTGGGTGCAATGGATGGTGTTGGCTTGGTAGTGCGTGGTATGTGGTGTGGTGGCTGTGCGGGTGTGTTGATGGTTGCTGAAGCAGGTTGTGAAATCGCTGGTGAGGTTGTTGAGGTGTGAGGTGGTGGTGGTGAAGTTGGTGTGGTCAACTGCTGTGAAGTGATTGTTGTTGGATCAGGTGGTGGTGCTTGTAGTACATCAGGTGCTTGTAGTGGTGGTTGAAAAGGTGTTGTGGCAGGGGGTGGATTTGTCGTGTGTGGTGATGGATGTAGTTGATGTGGTAGATGTGGTAGATGTGGTTGATGTAGTTGATGAAGAGGTGGTTGAGATTGAGATTGGGACTGAAGTGGCAATGTAAGATGTGTGTGAGCTGGGGATTGTGGTGATTGAGTTGTGAGATGTGGATGTTGTTGCGCAAGTTGGGTAGTGTCGAAGGGAGCTGTAGGTTGCACTGGAAAATGTGCCTGAAATTGATGTGATTGGATGTATTGAGCATGAGGTGGAGGTGTAATGGGCATTGGGTAATGGTGTGAGGTTGGGTGTTGCGGTGGAGTCGGTGGCTGTGTTGAAAAAGGTTGTGGTGAAGCCTGTGGTGGAAATTGAATCCAATGAGGTTGTGTAGGTTGTGGTTGTGGATGGATGTGTGGCGGCAAAGAATAGGGCCAGGGATACGTCATGGCTGCTCGGCAGGTCAAAGACAGTGAAAATATGTAGGCATGTATCAATAAATAAATAAATAAATAAAGGTCCGTGGAGTCGTGAAAATTGTGAAGTGTATTGAATAACCGCAATTAAAATTCTGGAAAATGGAATTAAAACTTGGAAAGTTAAAAAGATCTGAAAGGTTAAAAAGATTGGAAAGGTATGAATGGATTTCCCGGGTGAGACTCTTTCAGTTAACTCTGCAGTGGGATTCAGAAAGGATTTCAGTGAACTCTGCAGTAATCTTCACGTGTGCTGGGTGAAACGATCCAAGCTGATTTCGAGCAGGTCAAATTCAGTCAAAAAGGACTTCAGAGAAAATTCAGGAAACTTACTCCCTCGGTGAGGAGTGAACAGGTTCTTGCGGTAACGGCGCCCCGTAGGGATCACACAGCTCACCACAGTGGGAAGAAGCTGCGAAGACACACTTGAGAAGGTTGCTCCGTGGAGCGTGATTTCAGGTAGCTTCGCGGTGTGCATTAGCCCTTTAGGTGAATACTTAGCCCTTGACTTGATTCAACGGAAAGAAGTGCAAAGTCCGCTCACTTGAATGTTTCAACAAGAAGTATTAATTTAGTGTATATTAAAAATTGCAGGTACACAGTCAGACGTCTCTGACTGCTTCCCATGACATCACTAGCTTCGTTGGCCAGCGTCGTGATGCCATGCGCTGGCCCCCTGCTTCTGTACAGAAACGCTTGTAGGGTAGATTAGAGAAACTAGGGTAGTGTCCTTGGAAACAGGAGTGGACACACACACACACACTTACTTTTCAAAACCCGCCTCCAGACACATAACACGGGCCTTCCCGCCGCCAAACTCCTTCGCAGCAAAGGGAATCAAGCAGATATTGCCAGTGGTTTCTAAAAAAACTGCTGGACTTCCCAGAGGTTTCGCTCATGGCTCATGGCCTCTTTGCCGGAACTTTGGGTGAGGAGAACTGGACCTGGTGCAACTGCACAAGTCTGTTGTGCATTTTCCTGCGTGTTGGTTCCTGCTTTTGGGATGCTTTTGTTTGTGGAAGTGGCTGCTTGCCGCCTGGTTTTTTGGGGTGACCGGACTCGCTGGTTCATGTGACGTGCCGTCGCTGCAGGCCGTGAGTCATGGCTTCTTGGACACCTGAGGTGGCTTCTTCAGACTCCTTCGCCGCGTTTTGTGCGGCTCAGAAACATAGAAGATCCACATGGAAACCAGGGAAAAGAACAGGCATGGAATCAACCACTCTGACACTCGCCATTTCCCGGACCTTTTCGAGACATCGAGACATTTGGACTTCGTTTGAAGTCCCCAAACGCACAGCTCCGTTGAACTCTACGGCCCCGTCCCGGACCGCGGGTACGCGACGTGGTACGCGGTCGCCATGGAATGACCTCTGAATCCTTCCGGAAGGAGGTTGCTGAGCGCTTAGCCGCTTGGCTCCTTGGGTTAGACGGGGTATGCGGCTGGGTACGTGGTTGGACTTTGAGTTGGCAGACTGGTTGGGAAGATAAAGGGACTTTGTTTTGTTTCGTTCGAGTATGAACCTGTGTATTTGGATAGAGTTTGGGGTCACACCCTGCAAGTCCCTGACCCGGACAGTCACACAGTTCGGTGAGACCAATCAGACCGTCCTGTCTCGCCTGAGGATGCTGTGGTGAAGTCGCTGGAGCCGCGCGTGAGGAATCCTTGGATGTGGGGACGACCGAATGTCGTGGACGAAATACGACGCGGACATCGGTTTGCCAAGGAACAAGGACGCTACTAGCGGCTCCTGGCGCTCCTGGCCTTACTACTAGGAACAATTAGTAACATCTCCTTTCTTCTATGCCTTTTTCTTGGTGTAGTCTTAGCTACTAAACCCCTAAAGGCGAAACCGTTAGCAGAAGATCTAGGGACAGGCTTCAAGTGGTGTCTGTAATGCGATTGACAAACCGTAGCTGGGTTCTACATACATGCGATGTGAGAAGAAACCATGTGGGCACTTTCCCTCTGTTAGGAGCAAGAAACTACTAGTAGCTCTTGGCCGTACTGCTAGTAACAAGAAGCTACTTTCTGGCGCTCTCAGTTCTGATTTGGTGCCAAAACGGCAAAACCCGAAGAGGACACGAGAACCTGAAGATCCGAAAATCAATACACGAAGACGCGAAAAAAGGATCTGTTTTTCAAGGCGTCAGACCCGAATTCTTGAGTTCTTTTTCCATGATTTCTCAGAGACACAAGGCACACTTTGATCCATTGGGCGCTAATACTAATATGTACATGATGCCTCTGGGCTCATCATCTCCTTTATTCTGCCCAGAGAGTTCTTGTCACACCATTGGCCGGGTGTTTTTGGGGCAGCATGAGGGCAGCTGTGTTGCAAGTCGTTCTGCTGTGCAAGTACTTGATTTCTGTGTGTGAACGTCAGCGCGTCGCTTTCAGCCCTACCCAACAAGAGCATTGGTGCCGGGTGATTGGAGATCCATCTTGATCGCCAGTCCCCCGAATGGTTCTTGTCACACCACTGGCCGGGTGTGGGGCGCAGCACAAGGACATGTGGTGTACCTGGCGGTGTTTGCTGATGCAATCGGCAAGCTCCGTTAGAGGAATGCTGGACTGAGCCTATTTTCAAGAAATGGAGTTCAGTTTAGCTTGTTCTGGACGTGGGTGCTGTCCCGGGGATGAGACAGCAACCATGTCTTCTTGTACATGTGAAGGCGCTTGAGGCCAACCCACTTGGTGCCAAAGTGGATGACAGTGAGACGATGGGCTACTTGTGCTCACTGGGCGCCTTTGCTTGGACTGCTAGTAGCAGTCTAAAGCACCTTGTGTTTTGCAGAAGGGGAGGCCGACCTTATTCAGCCGACAAATTGATCAGCTGCGATTCGGCGATGTGTCATAATGTCGCACTCATATGCACTCATGGCCATTGGCCATGGCCCATGGCCAACGACGACGCATGCAGGTTCTTCCTACTAGCCGCAAGGGTTTCGTAGCGCAGCACTTCCTACAGGTTGATGCACAGCCAACAGAAGAGACCTTCAGATTCAACGTGCTGGGCACTGGCGGCATTGGCGGCAGTGGCATTCTTTACTGCAGAGCATGATGACCCCGTCTCGACACACCTGTGGCGGTCTTGACCCTCTTGGGTCGCTCTCGCGGCCCTCTCGGGTCGCTCTGACGGAGGTGGGGGAACAAACGGCACTGGTATAGGGACTGGAGGATTGGGCCTTTTTCACTGACCGCGAAGCTTAGGGTTTCAGCCATAGTAAAGACTTTGAAGCAGATCGGAGCACGTACTGCAGTAGGTTAGCAGGTTTCAGAGCAAGTTCGGGTCCGGAGCAAGTTCCAGAGCAGCTTCCGGAGCAAGTATATAAGTTCAAGCTCTCGAGCAGGAATCAAGAAAGCATGGCAGCATGGCCAATATTCAGGGAGTCCATGAAGAGATCATTTTGAGGTTGGAAAGTAATTTGCGGCAGTGCAGAGGGCCATTAATGAAGTTTTGCCAAGAGAGAAGTTGGGAAGGAGGACAACGGCGACAGCAAGGACTTTGTGCGATTCCTTCTTGGAATGGAAGCCCAGACACGACCTTTCTGGGACTGGAGTACTGACCGCCCCAGAAAGACCCCTTTGAGGCCACTCGTCGGTAAATCTTCCATTACATGGAGTTTTTAGGATGGGAAGACCACCTTGGCTGGATCATCTCATGTCTGTGTGGTTCAGCGCCTTCGCGTTCTTACAGAGGTGAATTCAATTCGGTTGGTTTAATGTGGCCACCAGGCTTGCACATTCCAAATGCGTGGTTCCACAGACTGTGGACGGGGACGCCCAAGGGCCCCCGAAAGCAAGGTCACGCAAGTAACACGAATGAACTCGGAAGGCTTGGAACTTCCCCCAACGCCGTCGGCAAATCCTTGTTGGTCATAATCATAGCATGATACCCATCGAAGGTCATTACATCGTGAGACGCTAAGGCTTCTGTGGCCTTCCCAAGCTGTTTGCTGCGGCCTCAGATAGAAGTCTGATGGGGAGCCGTGGACACTTTCGATTGGACAGCACATGCCTGTTCCAAGCCTGAATGCCTTCAGGCTGGTGATGTTCTATCGGACCCTTTTGGCCATGGTGCGTTTGCACTGTGAACAAACTGCCCAAAGAATCCAACTCAACGTTCCCAGTCTTCACGAATCATTCCAGGACACACTCGGAAGAGATGCCGGAGAGTCCAAAACTATCAATATAACATAGATATATAAATAGGCCCCCGAAAAATGTATTGGACACCGTTTCTATCTATTTGGGGACCACTATACACCTTCTCTGCATCTCTGACCTTGGTTCGTCCGCCCGGCCGCCGTCCTCTTTTTGCCGCCGCGAGGTCGGCGGAGGAACGGAAGTATGTGCACCACCTGGCGGAGCAGTTTGGCCTCAAACATGAGCACCTCGGAGTGTGATGTGGGAGGTTTCTTTGGTTAAAACCCTTGCGTGGAGGGAGGGAGTCGGACGTGCGGGCGGAGAGTTTTGGGAGGGCATGGAGTGGGGGTGAAAGGCCGCCGAAGAGAAACACATACACCATGTGACACAGGCACAAAATCAACTATTTCCACTTGATTTTTTGTTTTTCTGGCGATTACAGGAGGGTTCTAGTTGCCCAACGATGCCCTTTGACCGCACTTGGGGCTACACAGTCAAGTCAAAAGAATCTCGGAAGGTTTTGAAGCCAAGAGTCCACCTTGAGGTGCCGATGATCGCACGCATTCCAACCTTTTTATGAGATCCAAAAATCAGACTTTCACTGTTTGGCCATGTTTGGCATCGTGTTTTGGATGCCACGCATGAACGAACGGAACGAACCCTTTCGGTGGATCCACCTGCCAAGAACCGCGCGTGGCGCGGTTCTGGGAGGTCCAAGGGCCGTGGCGATGCGCGGTTCATCTCGGTGAGCAAAGACCCTGGAAAGGTGCGGGAGTCAGTGCTGTCTCTGGGGTGGGGAACTTGGGAAAAGTGGTCGGATTGTACCACTTGAGATGAAGCGCTCGATGAAAAATGGGATGGACATGTGCAATTCGCCACAATCGAATGCCAAGTTGCGGTGTTGTCTACGGTCATTTTTCTGCTTCCCGAATAACTACAGTTATATAGACTCCAATTCTGCTTCGTTGTTGTGGTTCCTTTGTGCCGGGGTACTGTGGCGATCCCAAAACGGAAAGGCCCATCCAATTGGGACACGTCAGGCACACTTAAGCTTGCTGCACTTGATTGGGTGATTTGGGGGGGTCGAAGCACTCCAAACAGAAAAGTAGAAATCACCCAAATCATCCTGACCCCTTGTAGTGGGTAGAAACCTGACTGAAACCTTGGACTTTCCACACGCATTTCGAACACGGATCTCTCTCTCTCTCTATATATATATACACAGACCATAACCACCCCCCAGGTCCCTTCACCTTGATCCCAGATATGGAAGTAAACCTTTCCAAAACACCAAAGGGATACCTCCCAAAATGTCGAGGAGATGCCAAAAATGCCAAAGGGACAACCGAGCCCTCAAACTGAACCTTTGAAACTTCGGATTTCGCCGATCCATCCGATCGGCCTGCCGGCCGGAGAGGCCGCGCGGCGCAACTTGTGTGGGGCCCGCCGAGCTGCGCAAGGGCGACAGGGATGGGTCGGGACAGGTTTTCTTCCCGAAGGGAGACCGATGTGAGGTTTTTGGTGGGAAAGAAGGTCGAGCAACTGAGAACCCCCTTTTTCTTCCAACTTGTTCCCACGAGTTCAGTGGAAGGTGTTTGTGCAGCTGGTCTTTCCTTCGACTCTGGACCGCAGGTTGCCCGGTGCGACCTACAGCGGGTTACGGTGGCCATCTGTGGCATAAGAAAGGGAGGTCCCAGCGTAGTCGTTTTTTTTGTTTTTAAGCCTTCCTATGTTTAACATGGTTAAAACCTCTTGATCCCTGACCGGATCTGCAAAACTCTTGGCCACTTGGACCGAGCGAAGAAGTGAAGGAGCTAAGGAACATTCTCAAGTTACCGCAGTTGCAAGGACGGAAGCCCAAAAAACATCCAGAGCGATCTCCAACAGAGCTTTGCTTATGATGAGACATTTCCAAGCTATGAGGATGTTCAGATGTTGGATTGATCAACGGTCCCGGACACTTCAACGCTTGGCACTCCCGACACAGCCAAGTTGCTTTGGTGTCTTAGAACCACCGAGCTCCGCGAGCTTCTACCTGAGGTGGTTTAGAGGACGGGGTAACAGACAGGGCTTGGGATGCGCCCAAGTTCCACGAACAGTGTAGTTCCCACCATGTCGTTCTGAAGTGACTTGAATGCATCGGCCTATATAGTCTGGCCAATAGGGAACAGGAAATCCACTTATTTCTTGTCATGACTGTGGGGTTTGATGCAGGTTGCAGATATATAAATAATTAGAACATTAAAAACTGAGAAGTTCATGATGGTGTCACATGATGTGTTCCTTTTTCATCCAAGCAGAGGTAAATTAGAAACAGAAGGCTTGCACTGTAGCCATCCTCCGGAGATAAACAGCCTGGGAGAACATAGGCCGGTTTGTAGGTGGCCTAGATTTGAGCAATACCACTCTAGTACCCGCCACCCCGCCACCCTCCGAAGCTCATTCAAACGCCCAAAAAGCAGGCTCCCCAAAAGTCGTTTCGATGTCTTTGTCTTTTTTGGGCTGCTCTGCTACTGCCGTTTGGGGCCCCGGCGGTGCAGAGCGCTTTGGTTCTCTCTCCTCGTGGCAAGCTGGCGCTAGGAGGTCCCTCGGCTGTCCTGGCCGCGGGCGGCGTCCGGGGGCCTCACCAGCTGACACGTTCGAGACTTTTTCTATCTAATCTGACATGTTGGATGGACAGTTGGTAGAGTTTAGCTTTGTTCAATGTCTGTTGGTTTAGCTTTGTGAAGTATGAGGCTCTTTGGTTCAACCTTTCGTAGGCCGTTCTGGCTGGCAGAAATGAGGTGACAGGGCCAAAGAAAGCTCTGTTGCTTTTTCGTCTTACGCCCAACTGCTAACCATCGGTGGTGCAATATGTTGCGTCCGTTCTTTAACAACGCGAGGTTGGAGACTCTCGAACATCCCCTGGTCGAGCACGCGGCCGAAGGCGATAACACAGAGGCATGTGGGGGTTTGGAGGCTGATCTTTGGACAGGACAGGCTCTCGCGAGCGAGAAGTTGGAAGGTTCTCTGAATCTGGTCATGTCATTTCCTCTTTGAGCAAACGATGCGGTAAGAACTAGTGCCAAGACTGACTGGGTTACAGCAAGCAGCCTTCAACCTCTGTTGAATCCTGACTGGTGCCGTCCCCGAAGGTGAACCGGAACCGTGGCTGTCCGGTCGATCCTGTGCGCTGTTCTTCACTTTGAGCCCTCTTTGGAGAGGTCGAGGCCTGGGGCACTGGAAGAACATGGGCTTGTATTTTAGATACCCCAAACCCATGGGTTCTTGGGTCTATTTCCCTTCTTCCAGGGGGTCGTTGCCTGGGAGGTCTCCCTCATTTTTAGGACACACCCAGGACCAAATCTCGCTCACACCGTCCACCGCGCCTCGGACGGTATTTGCGCCGACCCAGGTGGCGGCCGCCTCGGCGCCCTTGGTGGCCGTCGGGAGAGCAGAGAGTCGTGGGGCTTTGGGGCTTCCGGGCGTCTTTGGTCTGATTGAAAGGACCAACTGAATGCGTGGAGGCGAGAATGGTCATCTGGAGAGTGATGGGTGTGCCACAACGAATCCACCGCCAAGAATTAAACACTGCGCCCAAAGCTGGGGAGGTGGCATTGTTAGCGTGAATGAATTCGAAGTGGTCGCCAAGCTTGTATCTGCCATCATGTGTTCGCCAATAGCCCAGTTGTTGGATGCCCACAACAACTTCTGCCTTTGAGGGCCTCTTGATCCATCCATCGAATTCACAGATTGCCCTTAGAAAGATGAAGAGCGCATCGCATGAGGCTGCATGAGCCATAGGGGATTCCAACCAGTACTCAGTACTGGCCGTAGGTGTGGGATTTTCGACCAGGTGAACTGCATGGCCGTCGCTCACCGTGATTTTTTCTCCCATCACCAATGCCCGGCCAGTGGAGCCATTCTCGTCAGGTCTCGCCACGCTCCATTGACCGGCTGCTCGAGAGCAGTGGCGCTTCGGGGCCACTCGACCAATCGCGCGACGCGACGTGGGCGTCGTTGGGCCGACACGTAGGATGCATCCGTGATACCGCATTGTGGGTGTTTTGTTTTGTTTCGAAGCTTGGAGGGACACGACGGATTTCGGCTTGGAGCCGAGTCAAGGTTCAAGTCGGAGCCGGAACCTTCCCATCGTCTCGGCGAGCGAACCGTTGCTTTCAGACCGTTGAGCTTTGGAGTTCCCCCCCCGGTCCGTTCCGAAACGGAGTTTTATGATCCCCAATTCCAATATATTCCAATGGAGACTAGGATGAAGCCACAAGCACTCCTTTGTAGTGGACATGGTCTTGGAGTATTCCATTCTCAGGTCCATGTTGGTCATCAGAACACGAGGGACGCACAAGAAGGACATCATGAAGAGCACTTGCTGAATCCGTGATGCCCAGAGCCCGGCGGCGCTGCCCCGAGGCCTGGTGAGCCTCGTGGACCCGAGCCTGGTGGCCCTCCCCTAGGTCCTCCACCCACAGAGTTACTCCAAATCCGGTCGGGGGACCTGGAGAAAACGCGGTCCGCGGGGACAAAACGCGGGCGAAGCGGTTCTTCCGTGTCGTCAGAGCGGTTTTTTCCGCAGTTGGTTGATTGGTGCAGTTTAGTAGCAATCCGAAAAGACTAGCCACTACGGAACTCAAAAACAGCGACCTTTTCCCGCTGTCGTTTTCAAAAGCAGCGACCTCAGCCAACTCGGACGGACTGTGGTGAGTAGCTGGATGGGGTCACCGGCTGAAAGAGTCTCCTTGGCCAAGTAGAAGGTTTTGCCGGACAATGCCAAAGCATGACCATGAGATGAACAACATCTGTGCATTGTGAGAGTTGAGCAAAGGACTTGTAGACCAAACAGATCCAAGTCAGACGTGTCGTGTCGCCTTCAGCAGATGGTGTATGATACACCTTTATAGGTACATCGCGATGTTACTAAGCCCGCGCTCATCGCTGAACTTATGACCTGTTCGTGAGCGTCATCCACCACCGGTGTCATACCGCACGTGCTGCGTGGTGGTTGGATAAGGAAACGCAACTGGAACTCCTGGCACCTGGGGCTCTGCTCTGCAGGGGCTGAAGGAGCTGCGAACGAGTCGGCCGTGCGAACGGAACCTGCCAACACGAGCGAGCGAACGGTCGTGCTTCGGCGAGTTCTACTCGCATCGATTTGGGCGAATCTTTCCTGCAGCTTTTCGTGACCATTTCAGAAGGACACAGAGGTGTAACGGTGTATTCTAAGCAGTGCCAGGCTGCCAAGGCAAGTACTGTGTCACCTTGCTCCGCTACCTTCAATCAAGTGTGCGTGCCTTGCTGGACTTGAGATTCAAGGCGGAAAAGGGTGCTTGCGTTTCGTGTTGAGGGTTGCGTAAGAACTCATTCGACATAGAATAACCGGGCATGGACCCAAAGTACTCCGAATCTCCGAAAAGCTGTCAAAGTGCAATCATGTTTGTCTTTGGCCCATGCGATAAATGATATAGTTTTGATACGATTGAACCCATCACGCAGTACCAGCATTTCACTGAAGCCTCTCTAGAGCTTTCCACCAAAGACTGGCCTGGAGTCCCTTGGCCCTTCTCAATTTAGCTTCCGAAAGTCCTCCTATTCACTCCGATTGGCCTAATTGGCCTATGGTTCTTGTTCAAACTTTTCGCTGTCGTCAAACTTGGGAGTTTCGCTCTCGCGTCCTTTCCTCGTTGTAACCGTTGAACGCCCTTTTAGCGAGAGCGAAGTTTACCCGAAGGTCAAGCCGCTCAAGATCGAGCAAAGTTGTAGCCTTTCATGTTTCATCGTTGTTGGAAAGCAGAAAACAAGATAGAAAAGAGACAGAGACTTGTAGTGTTTCCTCCCCCTGCAACGTGTTTTTGCAGCAACTTTGCCAATTTTTGGACCCTGTGCTTTGTGCCGTTTTACTTTACTGAGAGAAGGACATATACGCAGAAGTGCCCCGGGGAGCATCATAGTTAACCCATTAATTCATTGTCAATCAATGGCATTGGAAGACAAACACTGTCCAGCCCATACATCCGTGAAAAAAACGCATCCGCATGTGTGGTTGTTGCCACACTGCACCTTTCAAGGAAAGGCTTTTGCGGGGTGTGAGGTGGTGTAGAAAACCCGTGAGTCAGCCTCGAGCCCCGGACGCCCAGGCAGGCCTTACCGGCATGGCAGTGCCGGGAGAAGATCTTGCAGGCGGTCCAGCAGTCGCAGGCGCCTGGAAACACTGTTGACCCAGCAGAAAAAAGGATAAACCGTGATCAGGCTGAAGAGGCTTTGATCAAGTGTGTAGTGGTTTGTAAAGGTTTGATAATGCGTTCGTCTGGATCCAAACGTTTGATTACTTCCAAGGACCTGGGTCACTTTTGGAGCATGGAACAAAACGGAAAAGCACACCCTTTCTCCATTTTCTTTGTCCTTTGAGGCACAGAGAACATTGGGTCGTTTTCGGCGCAGAACGACCGCACACCGCGTATGACCCAACGACGACGGGCGGTCATCCGACCCTTTGGACACGGGCAGAAGGTCTTCGTTCGTTCAACGCTTTTTGGGTTTGAAACGCCAGGATAGTGAACTGGGCGATGGTCCATGGTGGATCTGTGGTCCGTGCTTTTTGCGGGGCTCAGACTTTGGGGTGCGATCGAGGAGTTGAATTTGGATGGTTTCCTCCAGAAAGTCATGCAGAAAAATCGCCTCGGGCCTCAGTCAATGTTCTTCTGGGATCCTCCTTTTCCCATTTCGACACTCCTGAAATGAGCAGGAGGGTCTTCTGGATGAATTGCCAAAGCAACAACATTTCGATCCGTTTCGATGGGTTTAGCCTTTGGAGACGCTGCACCTTTTCGCTTCCCGCTCGAAAAATAACGCCCCGTCTGAGCACCCTCGTCGTAGTGCCCTTTCCGTGGCAGGTGACATTGGTCATTGGCGAGACGGGCTGCGGCAAGTCCACGCAGGTGCCACAATTCCTTCTGGAGGCGTTCCGGCGGAGGTGTTTGCTTTCGCATTTGTGGGATGGGTTTCAGAGCACGTAGCGACGGAGGTGCATTGCTGATCTGAGTTGCACGAATTGCATCGAAGCAAACAATACACCTCCAATATACCTCCATGAAGAAGGACTTGCGAGCGACTTTTCTGAAACACCTGCTCCCCCCGCCCCGCCGTTGACACAGCCGAACCCGACGACATAGCCTTCACGGTCCGCTTCAGTCAGGCGTTGCCAGGTGCAAACATTGTGGTGACGCAGCCGCGAAGAATTTCGGCCACTTGCTTGGTGGAACACGAAAGTCAATCATGCTGATGGCGGTTTATCGTCCTGAAGATGATTTTTTCGTTTGGGCACACTTTCGTCCGCTCACAAGCTGAATCACAAAGCTAGCTAGAAAAGAGATGTAGAGTATGGTTTGCTGATATTTCCTCTTTCGATTGGGCCGGTCATTTGACACACACACACAGCTCCTCCAACGATCCAGTCCTTTCTGGGCGTACGTTATGGTGGCCGTGGAGCAACAAACTCTCACAAGTCATCTCTCCAAGCCTTGGCAGAAGAGTTGTAATGTCGAGAAATCTCTATATAGGTTCCTCGAAGATCCACCAGTGGATCAGCTCAAATCTGATCTGAGAGCATGGAGTGCTTTTCGTTCAAGCTGAGAGCTTCCTGTGCGCAAAGGATTTGTGGAGCTTCTTGAGGAGAGGCGTTTAGATGAGGACATCTTGCAGTCTTGCGACCCAAACAAGTTCATCTTACTTGAATGGCCTTCCCAATCACCGTTTGCAATGAAGCGCACTGGCAAATGAAGCGCAGGTGGATCGTCTTGTTGCCTGAGCAGTGGCTGGGCCGAGCCCATGAGAGTACGCGAAGAAGTCTTTAACCAGCTTGAACAGGTTTGGAAGGATTTCATTGGCGTGCTTCTTAGCCGCCGCAGCACACAGTTGCAGGTCAAAAGTTACACGCCTCAGCTTCTCATCGCGGTTGGTTGACTCAGGTACCCGCGGTGTCAGAAGTAACCGGGCAGGACATTTTTATCACCAAGAATTTTTTGAATCATTTGTTTTCGAGAGCATGTTAAGTTTTCAATGGATACTCGTCAAACCCTTTGGGTTCGCAAAGATGGCTGGTTTGGGGAAATGGCCCATGGCTCTAAGTGTATGAGACCTTTGACGTTGTGGAATCAAGAAGTGAGGGCTGAACCCATCATACTCCCCAAAGAGCCAGCGAAGAGGGTGAGATACAGCATCTAGGGATAGGATGATAGGGCACCTCTGGACTCCAGGCAAGCGCATGGTGGTGAACAGCGACGATTTCTTCAGACTCGGAGGATTTTCACATTCGATCGAAAGCTGAGGCCTTGTCCTTGGCTCATCGGGTTGCACAGGAGATGTCCAGCGATTTGTGACTGACATGGATTAGCGTGAATACATCACCAGCTAAAAAAGGGTATAGAATCTATCAGCTTATAGCTGGAATATTGTACACCGGTTGATAAATCAACTGAGATCAAACAGCTATAGAATTCTACTAGTAACAAGGTGCATCGCTACTAGTAACAAGGACGCTGCTAAGGACGCTGCTAGTAGCTCCTGGCATTACTACTAGCAACAAGAAGCTACTAGTAACAAGGATTACTTGGTTTGATTGATCTCAGCTTGTTCCAACGACATTTTCCGCTATCATGTGACCAATGTGACCGGCGAAGGCGAAGGCGTATACGGGACCCTTTGCATCCTCTGGTTGGGTTGCTGTTGAGCCATGACTCATGCAGCAACGTCTTATTATATATATATATAATGATCCGGTTCACTTCAATTGCATCCACTGCGATCCCAAGACTGGCCGAGCTTTTTGGGTGGCTTTTTTTGAGCGAGAATTCTGCAATCTAGGCATCCAAACATGGCACCTCGAAGTTCTGAACTCAGCAGCCGTTCTTGAACAGTTCTGAATCTTTGCCCTAACATGACTAGTAGCTTCTTGTTAAGTTCGTAGCGATGGCCTCCACCGAGCATAGTGGCCTAATACATGAAGAACAGTTCTGAATATCTGCCCTTCAACTTCAACTGCAACATCTTCTGCGCTTCTTGCGGGCGGTCGACGGGTCGCTACCGATTTCCCCAGGAGCGAGGGGAGACAGTGGGAGATGTGGCCGCTTGGCAACCACAAGCATGTCGCCGAACACCGTGAAAGCCAGCGGCTTTCGCACCCGTTTCGAACTGATGACAGTGGTCTCAAATGTGACGTGGCACTGTGGGCTACTGGAGGTTGATTCACCTCATCTCAACCACGAGGCCCGCCTTCAAATATCTCGTTGGCTTGCTTGGCCAAGACACTTGGTATCAAATTGTAGGCGGCCAACGTGCTCACTCCAATGCCTCTCAGGGGATGATCCTTGATTGGATGTCGGACACAAAACCAGGTGTCGGATCATGTGTGCTCAGAGGAAGCATAAACTTGCTTTGATACAATGCACCCGCTTCAACTTTGGGCTTTGGATGCACATTGTTGGGAGGATTGTTCTGCTGATTTTGGGATAGATTGAAGCACCCCTCAGACCTGCCCCAAGTCAGACAACTTTGGTACCCATCAATGGCCCTTCAACGCTTCAATTCCACAGAGGTAGGCTATTCCGTTCACTTGGAGCATCAACGCCGCTTCGGCGTAAGCGCGTGATGGCGCCGCGCCGAAGCGACCGGGGAAGGGGAGGGCGCTTGGACTGGATAGCCTGAGCTGTTCAGGGACGGGCGCTGATGAAATGCTTGAGTTGGTCAATGAGGTTTGACTGGGACCAGGGTGGACCTGGGTCAGACTTGTCTGGGAAATCGAGTGGGCAACTGCGCTAGAGGCTGGACAGCTGGAAGATGCCTGTTCAGCAGAACAGCCTGTCGCCACAGAGCAAGTTACATGGATCTTCTTGGCAATGTTCAGCATCCAAATGCGGAGTTTCACAGACACAAGCAACAGAATAGAATACATAGTAAGTTACATAATAAGCAAGTGCAAGTAGGCAAAAAGGGAGTAGTTCAAGTTCCCGGATGAGTAGATGAAAATATGTGCCAGCACGACCCTGCAAACATAGGCTTGCAGGCCTCAATAACAGGTTTATTCAAAAAGTGCACTGCAAATCCAGATCTCTAGACAGAGATCTACTCCAATTTCATCGTTCCCTGTGATGTATTTCATGTGTTTTTATGTGAAAACACGCACGCATGACGGCATCCAGCCGAAGAAAAACAAGAAGCCCCGCGCCCGAACTGGGTGACGGTGACCTCCACGAAGCTCGTCCCGTCGTCCGCCGCCGAACTCGTCTCAGATGTCTCCAAGGCTCGGCCCGGACGCGGCTGCACTTCTGCACGGCGGGCGTCTTCCGGCGCCGAGTGCTGGAAGACCCGGAGCTGACGAAGGCGGGGGATTTCGCGGATTTCGCGGGCGGGTTCCAAACTCACGACCGAACCTTGCAACATATACATCTGGCAGAGATAGCTTGTCCACAGCTTGTCCACTGGTGCTGGTGATGCTGGTTCTGGTGATGTGATCTTCTTTGTTTTGTATTGCTGATGTACACGATGCCAAGGGCCTTCTGGATGTGACACATGAAAAACAATTACAACATTTGAAAGTTAAGAGAGAAAGGGAAGCAGATTCTCAGAAGCAAGAAGATTTTGCCTGCGCTTGACACCAGTTCAATCTCATATTGCAGCTTTCAGCACGCCTTCTGTCCTCGGGAGGTGACTCACTTGGTCATGGACGAGCTCCATGAGAGAGACAAGGTGCTCCCCCAGCCTGTGGCCTTGGCCGTGTGTTGCGTGATGCGATGGGGAGAGTCTGTAGGGTCGTGACGGTGCTTCGCATCTTGCGTAAATAATTATGTCACTGTACGTCATCGTTGTCGCATTTGGCGCGGCCATAATTGTCATATCATATTTTCTGGCTTTGCAAGGTTCCGTAGGCGCGTCTTCTCCAAGAATCCATTTCTTCCTCGGAGTCACTTCAGTTCCCCCGGAAGCTGCCCATGTGGCTGGAATCGTTGTAAGGGCCTTCTCCTGCGGCGTTTAAAGCTGGAATGGAATCCTCCACATCCTGGACGGTGGACTAAGTCAGCATTCCAAAGCTCTGACTCTAGTTTCAGCCACAGAAAACATGATTGAAGACGTTGCTTTCCTCCTTTCTTGGGGGCAGAGAGCTCCTTAGTTGCTTCGCATTGGGGCAGTTGATGCTTCTTCTGGCTCAAAGCTTGGCATGATGTTATCAGGAAACGTTAAACTACGGTGAGATAGTTGCAAAGGATAAGGTACTCTGCACATGGAGGCATGTCACACTATTGATTTCAAGTACTTCCATATGTTCAGCTCTCATTTCCTTTTCCTGTAGCCATGATGAGGCCAACTTCGGTGATGAGAAGAGCATTTCATCCTAGTCAGCACCAGAAAAGAAGCAAGTCTACCAGCCACAGCTACGTATGGCTGGGGCCTGGTATGGCCTGGTCACCTGTTGGTTCGCTTCAACCCATGGAGCTGGCGCCCATGATGCTGACGCACAATGTCAGGCAGGGCTTCAGGTCGTAGGTGAAGTTGCCTGTGAGTACGCTCTATTCGCCCCTTTACTGAGGGCCCCTTTCGCATATACGCATAGCAAGAGAATGGAAAGGTGTCCATGTTCCTTTGGTTGAAGTTTCTTGGACAGTGCTGGGTCTTGAGCAGTTATCTCTTCGATTTTGAAACAGGTCCGGCTATTGGCCTGGCAGAGGAGCGGGAGGGCAGTGGAGGGCAGGGCAGGAAGCGGAAGAGAGCAGAATTGATTTGGAAAGTTCATGGTGTGATGATGGTGTGACAACGTTCGACAGAAGATGTTCTGGTCCAAATGGTGAAGATTTGAGGGATTCCAAGACTTTGAATCGTTTCTTCTTCATCTACTTGGATCTTACTGTGCATGTTTCAGATTTGTCTAGTCCGACTGTGAGTGGACCAGTGGACCAGTGTTCATGCAACAGATCGGTGCGCCACATCCAGTTCCCCCCCAACCCAAACACATGTCGCACCTTCAAGAGGAGAAAATCCTTAGTGTCAACTGTGGCTATGTTGGGAGGGGAGCCAGCCCTACTGAGCCCCTGGTGACGAAAGGACTGGCCTCCATTGGACCTTGCGCGCTTGGGATGCAGCATTTGCTGCTCAACAGCGAAGAAAGACCGATTCTCGCTGCTGTGAGTCGTAGCGGAGCGAAAAACACTCCAAACCATCCATAAACTGATACTGTAAAATTATGGAGTTCCTTTAAATACTGTAGATTCATGTATTATTATGGAACATGCTGGTTCAAATTCAATTGTGTTTCTTCTTCTATGCACGTGGCTAGTAGATGGTGGCTAGTTTCATGTTTCTTGTGACGATCTAGACCCGAACAGTTATGAACATATGAGGGGTGAAGAACATATTACGGGTGATATTGTGTTGGATGTCTTTTGTTACGAGGATTGGTCCGTTCTCGAGCTTCCTGGACCGTCACTCGCTTGGGTCATTCGAGGGGGGTGGCGATGGCCTTGATAAGAGAAGTCTTGTGTTTGTTACGGTGGATTCGGACGGGTTTCCACCAGGTCCGGCCTCTTGGAGTCGCATGCTTGTTGTCGTCGTACTAAGCACTTCGTGCGCAGCAATTTCGTCTCGATGATTAGCCTAGTTTATGAGACACCCACTTCTTTAGGAGAAATGAGCTTCAGGTAGCTCGTGGACGGACAGCGTTTGAGCGAATGTGTTGTGGCCTTGAGAACAAACTCAAGCCGGGCACTCGTTGATCCTGCCCACTTTTGAGAATCCAACTTTTGGTGGACAACTTTATTCGAGAGTGAGGGAAGCAGCAAAAGACGGGAGTGGTTGTTGCACCCGTTTTGGCTTTCTGATCCATTTACGCTCCCATGGTTGGTAGGGGTCAAAGAGCCATCATCTTGCAACATGGTGACAGCTTCCTGCGGTTTCTGGTTGAACCCTCCGCCTTTCACATGCAGCTGAGGTTCGCGACTCATCCTGAGCGAGTCACCCAGGATTGAAAGCCTAACCTGAACCCTAACCCCCCAAAACGTTTTGGCCAGCACATGGACTGACCACGGTGCTGGTCATCCTAGCATGCCATGACTGACCACGGTGCTGGCGTCCACAGTTCTAGGCTTCGATGAGCAGCAGGGGATTACCTTTGAGAAGTGCTGTGACCAGGACGGTCATGGTGTCGCCGGCCCGGATGGACCCCACAGTCGCAGCCGGGTACATCGCTCGGTTTCTTCTTCAACGCCCAAAGGGTCTGAAGACAATCCACAGGAAGCTCCATTCATGAACGTATGTGCAGAGTTCGAGCACTGACCCTTTCAGATCCATCATGAAGAAAGCACTTTCTGATTTTCCAGTCCATTTTGGATGCTTTGATGTTGAAGAAGACATACCGTCCATCAAAAATAACAGTCACATCACGTTTGGCGGATTAGCCTGGCCTGAAAGTCGTCCTTTTCGCCGCGGCCTGGAGCATTGGATGTTCGACAGGAGACCTATGGACCCTGGGGAAACCCGTGCCTTGGATGGAGAACAGCACGGATGAACAGCAGTTTCGATGAAGAGGCTACAGCATGGTTGTTACATGAGACCGGATGTGTTTCCTTGGTGGCTTCAGACCATTTGCCCAGCCTCTCAAATTCGGTACACCACCTGTGCGAAAGAGGGTCCATGATGACGGACGAAGGGCGCCCAGCTCGGGTACTCCTTTACAAAAACAGTCGCTGGCAGGGTTGATGACTAGCCTGGATGAAGATCCTCCAAGCGATGATCGTGCGAGAACGCTGTCCGTCCGCAGATAGTCTTTCGACTCGACTCGACCGTCCCGGTCGGCTCCGTCGAAGCTCCCCCTGATGTCTCTTCGGTACCCCAAACCCTCCAACCACCCATGGATTGGCCCGAGTTCTCGTGAATCGCTGCGATTCGCTTCCGATTGTGTGCGGACGAACACATTCTCTTCTTGCAGGTCCGCCATGTCGTCTTCCCAAAGATACACATTGAGACCTCAAGTGCTCGGTGATTTCAGCGAAGCCTGGACCACTTGGTTCGCTCCCTGTTCAGAGCGGGTGCCGTCCCACCGTCTTTGACCCATTTGACCCGTAGATGATGGGGCAAAACGCGCGCTGCACGGCCCAGGGAGTGTTTGAGTGGTGTCTTCTCCTTTGAGGTCGGACGGGAGAGGTCACATGGTGCGTTCCTTTGGGCCTGATCGCGGTGATCGTTTTTGGGGGTTCTGTTCCATCTGGTTTCCGGGGTTGAGTGGTTTATAATCTAAACATCTCATGCTCCGACAAGTGGCTCCGATTCTCCGAAGCAGACCACGGACCCAGCGTTTCTCCGAACACGTTCTCCGCCGTTGCGGTTGCGCAACCTCCGCCGTTCAGCTGTGCTGCCTGCCCGACTGGAAGAGCCGCAGCAAGGTCACAGCCTGTGAGGTGGCCTGGTCGGGACGAGGTGGTTGGAGTCGACGAGGTGGTTGAGATGGAGGGGACGGCCATGGGATTTGCGATTTTTGCAAGTATCTTCCACTTTTTTGGCACGTTCGAGCCGTATGGTTTCCCAGTGGCCTCTTCATATCTTCCAAAGGGAATGGAAAGGTTTCGCCAGGCGAAACCAATCTCTGCTGCTTTTCGGTATGTAGTGAATGTCAGGCGTGACACTTCAAGGTACGGATTTGAGCTCCACCTAGTAATTAGGAGAAAAGGCGACAGGTTCCTCATCAAGCCCAATTTGCATCATGAAAATCCAAGCCCTCAAAGGCTCCAAAGCCTTTCGTCCCAGGTGATTGGGTGGGCTGGTGCTACAAGGCTCAGGCACGTCCGGACAGAAAGTTCTCCCCGCAGTTCCGCGAGGTGAACAGAGTTGTTGGTTCCGAGGCATCGAAACAACGGGCGACGCGAGCGTCCATTTTGCCAAAAGACAGGTTCCGAAGTGCTGGTTGGTGGGCTCCGTCCGGCTTCATCGGCTCCGGTCCTGCTCTGGTCCTGTCATGACTATGGAAAAGCTAGCCGCAAAATGGATGCGAGAATCGCTTCTTTGCTGCCCCAATTAAAGACGAATAGCAAAGGCGAGAGAATCTTCAGTGGGGACCGATGGAGCCCATAGGAGATCAGTGTCGAACCCACCGGAGAGGGGGTTGAGGGCGAGCCGAGTTTGGGAGCAAAACCTCAGGAGAAGCTACAGGGTGCAAACCTCAGGTTCTCCTTGAGGATGGTCTGCAGTTGGCCATTTTTTCCAGGAGAACCTCTACCTCTATGGACCTCCCGAGGCCGAGCCAGTGGGACGAAATGGATGAAACTTGCCATGGATGAGTGTTCTCAACACGAGTGAAGCACTTGTTGCTGATTGTCATTGGACGATGAAAAGGAACTTACTCTGGCAAAAGTGGATGTTCATCAAACTGTCATCAATTGCTTTAGGCCCCTTTCGCATGAACAGCAGACCAGCAGTGAGGATGGTGGCACAGAGGTTTGATCTGTACATAGGTCGCTCTTGAGATCTTGATGAGAAGGCTGCGGTCGGTCAGAATGTCGAGGCCATCGCAAGTTTGTAGCGTAGTTCTTCCAGTACACATTTTGGGGTCTCGGCAAGACTGCGAGGGACAAGAGGAGCAGGCCAACTTGATGGCGCAGAGCGAGTTCATCCATGAGGTCTGCGGCTGATATTGAAAGGTTTTAGTCTTATGGACGTGGACCATGTTGCGGGAGGGCAACAAGCACAGAATTGAAACCTGCTTTCCTTGCGTGACACTCGTTTCATCTCTTCCGCTTATACAATAGCAATGTTTGTCACACCGGTGAGTCCTTGAACTG